GTTGTGGCCCATTTTGCTCGTGAGCACGTGCAGGGTGCCGCTTCAAGATCTCGAGAACGGCTGGGCCGATTGTGCTCAAATTTGACACATCGCTAGAGACCGGTTAGTAGGGTGTATTGCACAATGCACAAGTTAGTTGGAGGTACCCTCGCAATTTCGCACGCGTAATTGCGTCTAATTGCGTCACCCTCTCGCTTGCTCCGTTGGTCGCCCCAAAAGGCGTTTTACTGGTCAATATGCTTCGAAAGAATTATGATTAGACGTTAGCCCTCTCCGGCACAGGGGCTGGGGGGGGGGGGGTTAACCCTCGCACGACCAGGCCATTTCTCATAACACGAACGACCAGGGGAGGGGGGGTTGTTACGACCCCCCCTGGCGTTTCGAAACGGAAGGTCGTAGAGCTTAGCGGAAAAAACCAACGGATTGCTCTCAACGAGATCTCGCGATTGGTGGTATATTTTTTGGTCCTAGGTCAACATTTGACCTACTTATGACCGGTCAAAGGTCAAATTTTCCGAAAAAATCAAACTTTTTCAACTTTGCGCAACGATCGCGGCAAAACGGTGAGAGATATTAACTTCAAACCTTCAACAACGTATTCCCCACTCAATTCTGCATCATATATGGTGTTTTTGGTGTATTTACCCTATAAAAGTAAGAGGCCTATTGCTGATGAGTGATATGGTGTCACATCACCCTCCGGTGTTTGTCCCGATTCGTCGGCTGTTGACCACTGCTCCGCTATAAATACTGTAGGTAACGACTCAGAAAAGATATGTGGATATCCACTGCAATGTGGATAGCATCAGCAGAAAACCTCGGGACTCGGTACACACTTCGTGAAAATCCGGCCGGAGGCTGTACCTCTTATGACGTCATAACTCCGTGACCTGACCTGACCCGGTCAATTTTCTTGCACCACACGATAGCCAATGCTTGCCCCAACATGCATGGGAAGTTTCAGCATGATCCATCAAACAATGTGGGTATCACCGGCAGAAAACATAGGGATTCGGCGCACACGTTTGGTAACTGTCGGCCGGAGGCTGTACCTCTTATGACGTCATAACTCCGTGACCTGACATGACCCGATCAATTTTTTTTCGGCAAAAGATGCGCAAAGGTTGCCCCAGAGGGTATTGAAAATTTCAGCCCGCTACGACAAGCCGTTTAGCGTGCACTTCGAAAAACCTCAGGGGGGGGTTGATACACCCCCCCCCCCTAGGCGTTCTAGGGTTAACCCTCGCCGGACCTATAGGTTTTCTACATACGCGCCGGCCGAGGGGGGCGGGTACGACCCCCTCGCCGTTTCGCCCCTGGTGGAGCTAGCGCGTCGCGGAAAAAAACGAGCGTGTGCGCCGTTACGAGACGCAGAGATTGGTACCCGATTTTAAGGTCCTAGGTCGACCGGTGACCTCTGAGGTCAGGTCAAGTGCCCCAAGGTACGGTTCAGTTTTTGGTGAATAACTTCGCAAAAAACGGCCGCAGTGCCGCGATTTTGGCAGCATCGTGTTCGCCTCGCTCAAGCGCGTCGAATGATATACTTTTTTCGGGTCAGGTCAACTTTGGGTGTTGACCTCAGGTCAAGGTCAGGTCAGCACCCCCCAGATCACTAGTTTGTTTAACCCGCGCCCTGCTGGGGGTCCTGGATTTGCACGCCCTGCTGGGGGGGGGGGGTGTTTGAACACCCCCCTTCTAACTCGGCTCCTGGGCCACGCAGCGATACGCGGAAGGCGGCATTCGAAAGAGCGTCAAAAATAATGAGGAAATCACTTCGGTCAATTTTTTGGTCAGGTCAAAGGTCAGGTCACCAGAGGTCATTGAAGGCAAAATTTCGCCGATTTCCAGGTCGAATGTCGACAATTTCCAAGAAGCCAACGCATAACTCGGGAACCAACAGAGCTACAGCGCCGCGGAAAAGCGCATTCGATAGCCCTATTAACACGCCCTTTCTGAGTAATTCTCTCAGATTTGACCTAACGTCAACGGTTTTGCCTGCAGGGGGCAAAAACTGCAAAAATAGCCGATTTTTTTTCGGAAACAGTTTTTCTGCAATAACTTTTGACCCAAGCCTTGTACGAGCTTACTTTTACCGTCATCGTGTTCCTCTCGTCAAGACGCATCGAATGAACTATAACTTGACCTTGAAAGGTCAACTTGAAAATTTGACCTCAGGTCAAGGTCATGACCTGACCGGAAAGGGTCATGTTGCATATCAGTCGATCCGTATCGTCGAGCTGAACACATCTAAGACATTTTCGTCGCTCTAGCATGCCTCTATCAAAACTTATTTGCGAAAAACTGTTAGATACCATTCGTGACCTAAGATGACCTCAGGGCATAAACAGGGGTCACGGACACCATTTCCATGTTCAGTGTGTCTAAACCACTTGTAATTCAGTGTTTGGGAGTGTTTATAATGTCTTTCGTCCAAAAGAGGCGCATTTCAATTTTCTCCCATTGACAATTATAAGGTCGCAAAATTGACCTGACCTTAGGTCATCGATATCAAAATTCTGAGATATACATTTTGTACATGCTATTGCTCTTAGCAATCGCTGAAAGTTTCAAAGCGATCGGTCACTCGGTGTAGTTATGACAGACATTGAAACTTTTTATGAGGTGAGGTCACTTCAAGTGACCTGGTGACCTGACCTTGAATGACCTTGGTCTGAAATTTTCACAACATGTGTAGAATTGATGTATGATAAGGTGTAACAAAAACGGCGGCGCTCTGCGCCGCCGTTTTTGAGATATTCGCGAAAAACCACAAGGGGGGTGTTCAAACACCCCCCCAGCAGGGCGCGGGTTAAAGAGGTCATGTCGCATATCATACGATTCGGCAGGTCTTCCTGAGTCCATTGGTGACTTCCCTGACTCGCTAGCTCAATTTGATCAAGAGTTATTGACGAAAAACTAATATGACCTTGATGACGTCATAAATGACGTCACGCAAGGTCTGCATCTGACCTTGCAAGGAGTGCATCAAATCACGATTCTGTGTGCTTGAGATGGTTAGAGATCGTTCCCGGCGCCAGAATAGCAGTTTTCATTTTTCCCCGTTGACTTATAATGGTGAGGTCACGAAAATGACCTGACCTCATATGACCTTTAGGAAAAATCCGAGATATACAAGTTGTGAGACTCATAATGGATACTAGATCCTGCAAGTTTCATTTCCCTGTGACATCTCCTCTGGCAGTGAGGGCGTTGCGAAGTTGCGACATCTGAAGACCGTGCAGAGGTTCACTTATGACGTCATAGGTCAGTGACCTGACCTGACCCAAAAATACGGTTGGTGTCAAAAGCTCCGGCTTGAATCAAAGGTCAGGTATGCCAAGTTTCAGCTCTCTATCGCCAGCGTGTTCGGAGCTATCGCGAAAAAAAAAAACTATGGGGGGCGGGCCCCCCTCGGCCGGCTAGGGTTAATGCACCCCCTCCTAAGGTTTTTTTTCTTGCGAATAACTTGCGTACAAAGTGGCCGATTGCGACCAAACTTTCAATGCCCTCGCATTGATCAATTTGACACATACCTACCCTGAAAATTTCATGACCCTGACCCAAATGACCTTTGACCTGTGACCTACTTTCCGAGACCATGTTTGGCCGGAATCGCGATTCGACGTATGTCGGCTCGCATTAGCCGCGCGTTTGCAAGCTTTTCGTGGTTTCAAACGTTGAAATATGTGATTTGATGTTGCTCTCATGCATAAGGGTGGATGCCAAGGTCACCTGAAGGTCAGGTCAGGTCATTGACCTTTGGTAACTTCGGCTCACTTTTTCGAGTTTTACTTGTTTCTAGGCTAGTGTTTTGAGCTGAATTCGAATTTAGCATTCATTTGAACATTTACGAATTAGTTTTGGTGCCTTCGTAACATGTTACGAAGCTATCAAAGGCGGTTGACACGTACTACGAATATCCGTCACGACCCCTACTGGTTGACCTGACCTGACCTGACCCGACCTGGTCTAAATGCTTTAAGACATGATCTGTGACCAAAACTAACACGAAATTTGTGATCAGAGCCCCGAAAACCCCCATAGCAGCCATACTTTACGACTTTCTAAAAAGTTCCCGATTTTCCCGATTTTTGGGTCATTGACCTGACCTGGAAGGTCAACCGATGACCCAGGAACTTAAAATTGGGTATCATCGGAATCGTCTCGTGACGGACAACACGCTCGTTTTTTTTCTGCGAAGCACTAGCTCGATCAGGGGCCAAACGCGAGGGGGGGGGGTGTACTTACCAATCCCCCCTTGCACCGTCGAAGGACGCAAAATGGCCTGTGCCGGCGAGGGTTAATGATAAACATGAACATGAAACATGAAATTAAACCATGAAATTGAAATTGAAAGTGACCTAGAGTCAAGGTCATGACCTAACCATGGAAAGAAGATGCTGCACATAACCGATGCTTAGGTATGAAAAATTGTACACTAGGTGCTTACTAGTGAAATCACTTACAGAAAATCAGGATAACGTTTACTAAAACAATGCTTTGGCGTTAAATATGACGTATGTCTGAAAATGGCGGGGCTATATTTTTGCCATCGATCTACAGATGTAATGAAGTTGACCCTCCTTAGGTCACTTAGAGCTATCTAAAAACAAGGGAAGAAGATTTTCAATGCACCCTTGTCCCTTATCATTGACAAAAAAAACAAAAAAACAAGGAAGCCCACGCTTCGTTGGTGTATAATTTGGGCTTGTTTGTCTTGAAGTAAAATCCCTTATCATTACCTGGTGACGTGACATCGAACACCCCGGGTCGCTTTTACATGTGCGAAAAATAAGTATGTCATAAGTTGAACACACAAAAAAAAAAACGGTAGCGTAGCGCTGGTGTAGCGCCCTCATGATAAAGTTCACCCAACACTTCTCGCGAGTCAAACGAGGCTCATCATGATTGAATAAGGAGTTAGCATTTTCAACAGGATTTGGAGAATGGTTGGGGATTGTTACGATAACGAATGCTTGCACTTATCACTGATTTCACCATTCTTTTTTTCAGATAGTGCCCTGTATCAAGGCCGATGTCAACGTTCCATGCGCTTCTGGGAATGTGAATAGGCTTGTTTGGGCAGTGACACGGCTTGCAGCCGTGACTAGGCAGCGGTAACTACGAAGAGACAACAATTACCGACCCGTCTACACGATATCACAATGCACCGGTGGAGAATAGCAGGTGAGACCCGGTGGTAATCGACCTTTTATCGAATGCTTGTGGCTAACGTGTGTGGCTTTTTTGACCCTCGCCCATATTGGTGTTTTGCCAGCCGCGAACGTATAAGGGGAGAGGGGGGTCCGTTGGACCCCATCCTTGCCGTTTCGCCCCTGATCGAGCTAGAGCTTCGCGGAAAAACGAGCGTGTTGCCCGTGACGAGAGGAAGCCGATAGTACCTAATTTTAAGGCCTTAGGTCATTGGTTGACCCTCCAGGTCAGGTCAATGACCCAAAAGTCGGGAAAATCGGGACCTGTAAGACCGTCGTAAAGTGTGGCTGCTATTGTTTTTTTTTCGGGGTGCTGATCACGAATATCATGCAAGTTTTGATCAGAGATGATGTCTTCATGCATTTAGGCCAGGTCAGGTCAGGTCAACCAGTAGGGGTCCTGCACTCCTGCCGAGTAGGTATTCGTAATAGGCGTCAACCGCCTCTGACAGCTTTGTAACGAAAGCACCAAAACTATTTCGTTAAATGTTCAACTGGTTGCTAAATTCGAATTCAGCTCTGAAAACTAGCCTAGAAACATGTACGTACAACTCAAAAAGTGAATCGAAGTCACCAAAGGTCAATGAACTGGCCTGACCTTCATGTGACCCTGACACCCACCCTTATGCATGGGACCAGCATCATATCAAATGTTTGAGCGCTTGAAACCACGAAAAGACTGCAAACGCGCGGCTAATGCGGGCCGACATTCGCCGAATCGCGATTCCGGCCAAACATGGCCTCGAGAAATGGGTCACAGGTCAAAGGTCATTTGGGTCAGGGTCATGAAATTTTTAGAGTAGGTGTAAAAATTATTACCGCGAGGGTACTGAAAACTTCGCCGCAATCGGCCGCTTTTTACGCGAGTTATTCGCAAAAAACGAAGGGGGTCCGTTCGACCCTCCCCCCTTATACGGGCGAGGGTTAACTTACCCAAATCTAGATGACTTTTTATCTAAATCTACGAGTATAGCTCCTACACGGCTTTGACGTTTTATTGCGTCAACCTCAGATAGCGGCTGGAAAAGTAAATGAATTGCACCAGAGAACGGTAATGCGATAAAAAAGTTAAATTAATCACGTAAAAGCAATTATAGAAAGTGCATTGCAGCTCATACATCTAGGCATGAATTTCACGATTACTCTCCTGAATCATGGCACACTATCTCTGAATGGCGAATAGTTATTTTATGGGCATCAATTTCTGCTTGGGCTTTCTCTAAAACAATAGCAAACCGCGAAGTAACAAAATGAGATTTGAGTAAGACGAGGCGCAGCAATCAGACCCCATTACTATAAAATACAATCTAGCCAGTGGCTGAAAAAAAAAAACTATCCAAATAAAGCAGCCGACTGTTTTTCCGCGGTGATTATGAAGAAAGATGCAGTGCTTAACCCAGTTTTGTTCTCCGTTTCCAGCAGCCGTGGCGCTGGCCTGCGCTGCCGTCTGCCTGGGTGACGATACTACCGAACCAAGCATAAGCCCTTCGCCAGCCACAGCCGGAACCATGACGACACCAGAGTCGCCGAACTCCGGGTCCACGGTCGCTGCCAGTGCCGGACCTACGGCCGCCTCTACAGCTGCCAGCGCCGCCAGCGCCGCCTCTGACCCAGGGGGCAGCACGGCCGCGGCCGACCCGGCCACCTCGGCCTCCTCCGCGTCACCGCCGGCGACGGATGACGTCAGCGCGTCGACACCGACAGCAGCCGACGGTGACGGCGCGTCGACCGCGGCGGAGCCGTCTGCGGAGGGCGAGGCGGCGGTGGAGGTGACGACGACGGCGGCAACTGAGACGACAGAGGCTCCGAGCCCGGCGGCGGCCGTCGACAGCTCGGCGGAGACGGAGACGACCGAGACCGCCACAGAGTCAACAGAGGGCTCAGCAGCCACTACAGCGGCGTCAACTGCTGCAGAGACAGCCACGACGGCATCTCCAGCTGCCCAGACCTCTGCTGAAACGGTCCCGGAGGCAACGGAGTCTCAAGCGTCTGGGTCACCGCCCGCAGCGTCCACTGACGGACCATCGGAGCCTGAGACCACCATAGCCGCAGAAACGACGGCCACCACAGCAGCTGATGAGACCTCAGCGGCCACAGAGGCCCCTGTGGTGACCACCACACCCCCACCAGCGCCTACCACCCAGCCATCGACTGCAGCACCGACCGCAGCTGGGGACACATCTCCAGCGGTCTCCCCAGCTGGGACGCGGCCGCCGAGCCCCGGGCCGGCTGGTGTCAGCAGTGCGGGGACAGAGCCGACAGCTGCCTCCCCGGCCGTCAGCACCGAGCACCCGGCTAATGTGACAGCCAGTGAGCGGACCAGTGAACGGACCACGGCCACACCGCCCGTGGAGACCTACGGCTACCCGAGGGTAAGCGGCGCCTCTGTGTCCGATCCCATCTAATCCCCGGTCCGCTGGAGTCATCAATCAGGCTGGGGATAAAACGGCACCGCCAGGCATCAGACGTCTGCCTTGGACCGTCCTCCCCGATTCGCCATAGACCGTCTCCGGACCCTCCCTCCCCTCCCCTCCCTCCCCTCCCCTCCCGACGCTCCCCTCCGATCCTCCTGGCGGGCACCTCTCCGCTTTCCCTGACCCTCCCCGAGCCCCTCTGATCCTCCCAGCGCCTCCGCACACTGGGCCGGGGGTCCGGAAAAGTGCTAGAAATTATTTGTGATTGAGTCGTTGATCTCAGTGACAAGCAAACATGCTAAAAACGAAGTGGGGCTGCTTAACCCTCGCCGGACCTATTGTCGGACCCCCCACCCCCTCGGCCGGCCGAGGGGGGAGGGTTCGTACTTCGTACGACCCCTTTTTGCCGTTTCGCCCCTAATGGAGCTAGAGCCTCGCAGAAAAAACAAGCGTGTGCGCCGTTTCAAGGCGGAACGATTGATACCCGATTTTAAGGTCCCAGGTCAACCGGTAACCTCTGAGGTGAAGTCAAAAAGCCCAAGGTAGGGTTTGGTTTTTGGCAAATAATTTCGCAAAAAAATGGCCGCAGAGCAGCGATTTTGGCACCATCGTGTTCGCCTGGCTCAGGCGCGTCGAATGGTATGCTTTTTGTTCGGGTGAGGTCAACTTAACCCTCGCACGACCAGGCCATTTCTCATAACACGAACGACCAGGGGGGGGGGGGGTTGTTACGAGTCGTAACACGACCCCCCCTGGTGTTTCGAAACGGAAGGTCGTAGAGCTTAGCGGAAAAACCAACGGATTGCTCTCAACGAGATCTCGCGATTGGTGGTATATTTTTGGTCCTAGGTCAACATTTGACCTACTTATGACCGGTCAAAGGTCAAATTTTCCGAAAAAATCAAACTTTTTCAACTTTCCGCGGCGATTGCGGCAAAACGGTGGGAGATATCGACTTGAAACCTTAACTATCGTGTTTCTTGATCAATTCTCTATCGTTTGGTATGTATTTCGTTTCCCTAGCTCTAAAAATGGCGCGTTGGGAGCGCCGGAAGTCGGCAAGGTCACAGTCGGCGGCAGAAATTCGAAATATCAAAATTTAAATTTTTGAAATCTGATTGTATTTTTGGATTTGGGAGGTCCATTTGCTCCCTATAGAAGCTAATATTGCTGCATATTCCCATTGAGGTGACAAGAATTAGCAAAATAGTGGTTCGGGCGCTTTTCAAAAATAGTACCGGACGCTGTTCCTCTTGTGACGTCATAGCTCCGTGACCTGACCTGACCCGGTCAATTTTCTTGCACCACACGATAGCCAATGCTTGCCCCAACATGCATGGGAAGTTTCATCATGATCCATCAAACAATGTGGGTATCACCGGCAGAAAACCTAGGGATTCGGCGCACACGTTTGGTAACTGTCGGCCGGAGGCTGTACAGGGACCCGCAGTTGCTTCTGTACACACTAGTATTTCAGCGTATTCTTTGCCTGTGACACCGTTGGAGGCGAATTGGGAAATGATTGTGTGCTTATTGAAACCACCATCTGAAGGGCTTTAAACTGATGTGCTGCTCTCCTAATTCAATGAACTTTTTATGGCTATATCAGCAAAACATTGTTTTCAGCGCTTTTTCCTGCCCCATTCCTTCTGAAACCTGGAACCGCTTATTCCATTTACTCCTGCCATCTGACGATGGTCGTGCTGACTACTAGTTCCGGCGCTAGTTACTGCTCCAGTTTTGCACCCGGCACAAACTCGGGCGGCGCCGGCCCGTGGCTCGACCAGGGAGGGTCGGACCGAGCCGACTGCCTGGGGCGCGGTTAGATCGGACGCCCTGCTGGGGAAGGGGACGGGAGTGAGGGGGAGGGGAGGAGGTCGTCACGTGGTCCGTCCAAGCTCGCAGACGACCTGTCCTGCGCCCAGCGATGTTCCGTGATCCAAAATGGCACGAGAGCTGTGGAATGCCTGGAGGAGACGCTTCGAAAGCGAACTTCAGCAGCACTAATTTACCATATTCTGTGGAGATAAATGAATATTAATATTATCTTAATGAATATTATCTTAATGCAGAAAAAAATTGTATGCCTAAACTGTCTAAGCTGTATCTTTTTAAAAATTGGAAATAGGATTATTTTTAGGGACTTATAGGTTTCGTATATACAGTGAATTGTGTTACATTGAGCCGTTTCGCTGTTATGGTTACTAACTGAAGAGTTATCCTTTTTTCTCACATGGAATGACAATACAATAACAATACGAATAAAACCAGACGTTTCGCACAAAAAAGTGCCTCCGTCAGTGGCAAAAAATAAGTAATTAGGCATACATGTTTTCTTTCAATAAAATTGATGAAGTAGTTATCTTTATTTTTTTAAGATATATTTTCAGCAGTTTTTAAGCACATCATGGACGCTTATAAACATTTGTGTATTTTATCGGCAACCCGGCTGGCCAGACCGAGACGGTGCCGCATATAGCTCTCATCGATGTTAAACCTATACACTTATTTTTCTTCACTGACGAAGGCACGTTGTTGTCCGAAACGTTTGGTTTTATTCGCATTGTTTTTATATTGTCATTGTCCGTGAGAAAAACATACTCATATGGACTGGTCTCAGTTCATGTAGAAATTGTTGCATATTCATCAACACAGATAAAATGAATATTAGCCGTCACCACACATATAAGAAGAGTTAAGTAGACCGCGCCCCCTGTTTTTCACCAATAAATCGCGGCACAGCGAAGGATTGCGACGATTCTTTGGTGCCCTGGAGTTAAACAATTTTACAACTTCCCGGAAAATTAAATAGCCCTTATCATTTTTCCATCTTGTCTGAGAATTTTAAATCCCTGAACCAAATTACCTTTAATCTGTGATTATTTTTCTCAAGATCATGTCAGGCCAGAATAGCAATTTAAAGTCAGCGCACATCTTCTGTTTCCATAGTCGTTTCGTGATTAGCAACGTGACAGCATGTGAAATATACTATCTAATGTTTGTCTCATTGATTGTTGTGGGTGCCAAGGTGACGTGAAACTCAGGTTGGTCATTCACTTGAAATGATCTCGGTTAACTTCCTTAAATTTACACCTTTTTACTGTGGTTTTTAGGAAGTGTTGGTTTGAAATTTAGCACCCATTTTAGCATTTGAAAACTAGGCATACTTAGGTATCAGTTATAGTGCTTATGCAATATGTTGCAAGGCTGTAAGTGCTGGTTAACATCCTATGGATAGCCGGCAGAACGCCTAATGGGTAATCTGGCGTGACCCGTCCTACCCCAAATGCTTTGATACATCATCTTTGATCAAAGCAAGTGCAAATTTGGAGTCAGAAGCAAGCCAAGTCCCAGCGAACTTCACTTGGAGAAATTCTAGCAGGACTCAATTTTCCGTGCTTTTGGGTTATTAACCTGATCTGGGAGGTCAACCAGTGACCTAGGATCTCAGCATTGACCAGGACATAAAAATAATTAGCTTTCTCTCGTCAGCGATGACCAGGACCCTCAAATCATCGGATTTCTCTCGTCACGAGCAGCTCGCTCTTTTTATTTTTCAGCGAAGCTCTGGCTCTTTTTATCAAGGGCCGAATGGCTGAGGGTTTCTACGCCCCTCCGCTACATGTAAGACGCTGAAAAGAAATGACTAAATGGGTGAGGGTTAAATATCGATTCGTTTTTAAGTGCCGAAGCCCGAAACACTTTAATTTACTTCGATAGCAGTTTTTAAGACCAACGAGCTCGAATACTATAACTTCTTGAACAATGTAAGCACCACATAAAATGAATCGTGAGAGAAGCGGCTCAAGATTAAGGAGCTATGAGACACTTAATAAAAAACGGCATAGATTAGAAACTGCACCTAACTTGCACTGGAATTTTAAACCCTTTCGTTGCAGACAGGTATGTAGATTAAATTTTAGGATTGATTTCAGCTGATGCTCAAATGGAGCTATTCATCCGTTCATTCATGCGACCATCCAATTCCATTCATAAAAGAAGCCGGTGACAAAATTGCTCATTTTAGATAAGTGTGAAATACAAACTCACTAAAAGTTTAATGATACGGCAAATTTGACAGCTTTCATAATGAACAAATAACTTTAACAAATCAAAGTTGAGAGCCCCAAATAGGGGAGAGGTAAGATGAGCCAAGGGGCAAGTTTAGCCACCCCATGTTTCTCAGCTCCTATGGCGCTAATTGACTTGAGCATCCATGTGCCGTTCGCTTACGATGCTGCAGTCTTTCACGTGAGACGGCAACGTTCTCACGCCCAGCACCCGGTAACATGTGGTATCGCCCCTGATAACTAAGACATGTTTTGCCTTTAAAATGAGATGGTTGTTATCTGCGGTGCATGGTTATTTTCCTTAGCGGGTGTCATTAATCGAAAATGGCCACGGGTGGGGCAGGATGAGCCATTTTCACCTGGGGAAGATGAGCCGGATAAGCCATTGTTGTCTCCGCTGTCGAAAACCAAACTGAGCTGCGCTTGTTTCTGCTGAATAAAAATGGTAGGAAACAATTTTTCTTTGTTGATTACACAAGTTGTATGTGATTTGCAGATTATCTGAAGGATAAAATGATTTCTTCCGTGATAGAAACCTTGACGAGTTATTGGAAGGCTTAAAACAGTCAGTTTTTGATGGAGGAAAAAAACTTTGCCATAAGTATGTATGCCATGGAGTAAATAAAAGAGCGAGCCCACTCTTCGCCGCGCCCGGGAAAAGAAGAGGTTCGCTTTTTCTATCCATGCTCAACTATCCCCACGACGTGTCTCTGTGGTAACCACGTGTGTCGCCGGCCGGCACGGGAGTTCCCGGCGCAGACCGATTCGCGCGCCGACTTGTGACGTCGCTACCCCGCCCCGGCGCTGGGGAGGCGGCCCAGGACGTGTCTGTTCGTGAACTTTGTCCCATCACGATGCGACCGCGTGGCTGCGGCCTGCGCTGCCGCA